GGGCACATGCCCAGGTTGTGGGCTGCAGCCAATCGATGACTCTCTCATCATTGATGTTTCTATCTCTCTCTCTCCCTCTCCCTTCCTCTCTCTGAAGTCAATAAAAATATATTTTAAAAATAAAAAATAAATAAATGTCTAGGTGTTGATAGCCTATGGTAGAATATACCTACCATTAAATATATGATATAAGCTCAGCTGTAAGTATCATTTGATTATTACAGTAAGTTCTAATCATATTACTTGTTCAGTTTCCTAATCCTTGGACATTTAAGCAAAAGCTATCTCATGCTATAAACAAAACTGAAAGACTCATAGACACACAGAGAGGACTGGTGGTTGCCAGGAGGGAAGGAGGTTGAGGGACTGGGAGAAAGAGGTGAAGGGATTAAGAGGAACAATGGGCGGTTACAAAATAGTCACAGGGATGTAAAGTACAGCACAGGGAACACAGTCAATAATGCTGTGCAACACCACAAATATGTATGGTGCCATTTGGGTACTGGAAATATCAAGGGGAACACTTTGTGAAGTGTATGACTGTCTAACCACTATGCTGTAAACCTGAAACTAATACACAATATTGAAAGTAAACTGTAATTTAAAAAAAATTTTTTAAAGCTATCTCATACTGAAATTCCTCTGGAGTCCTACATCCTGCCATCCTGGTGGGCTTAGAAGTCTGCTTTGCACAGAGATCATGTCTCACATCTCTTCGAAGCACCAAAAACCTATACAAATGAAGCCTCAATTGCCGTTTACTGATGGGCTCCACTAGGAAAAAAAGAGTAAAGGCAACAATAGCACCTACCGAGCGAAAAAAAGACCAAAGTAAGGAAATCCCAAATTGGAGTTATTATTCGATACAATAATGTAAGAAATGTGAAAGATCCGCTAACAAACATACAAATTCCATTTAACAAGCATTAGGCTTTCCATATGTATACCAGTTGCTTTGCAGGTGCTGAGAAAACAGACATCACAATCTAATAAGATAAGTGCAATTTTGTTATATAAAGGGTTTTCCTTCCAAAAATAAGGGTATTTTCTGATTTTATAAAAATATATAATCTTATACATAGGTTAATGTATAGAATCACATATAGTAGTAAGTCCAGTAATAAGAAAGGAATAAAGAAGGAAAAGTTCACAGAAATTCCACAATCCAGAGGCGATCACTTCAGCACTTTGCTGAGCATCCTTCCTGACAGCTCTGCACGCACACATCACGCTGTGAAAGGGGCTACAAGACACCTGCTGCCCAACAACCTGGCTTTCTCCTCCGAACAATATGCCCTGGGGATCTTTCAGATCAATAAGTGTGGATGCACACATGACGTGAAAGTACTTTAAAAATAGTTTGGAAATGGGATCGTTTAAACAGTTCTTTCAAAATAGCAACTTTCCAATGCTTCACCATACTTTAAAAATGCACCAGTAATTCCTTAAAATGAAAGTCTAAGAAAATAAGAAACTTTATTCCTGCTCTAAATCAGTGTGACAGTGTAAGGGACTTATATTCATCTTTGTGATGAAAGCTTGTCTTATTTCAAACATGTCAAGTTCCAAAGGTGAGCAGAAACACGGGTGATCGGATTCTCACCTGTTTCAGCACATCTAGTATAAGCTCATTAAAGACTTCGTTAACGGCCATCGACACGGTCTGCCGATCCATGCCTTTGCTGAACTGTCCGGTTCCGATCAGCTCAATCAGCTCCCACACAGAAAGGCCGTCTTTACCGTCGTCAAAGTTGATTTTATAATGTTCAAATTGTTCTTGCTGCCAGCCTCCTCCCATAGCTTCTGTCAGTTTCTTAAGCAGGTACTCAATCTATATAAAGAATTTAGAAGTTATTTACATTAGTAAAAAAAATAACGTTTTAACTTGGGCATGTTTCCAATTTACATTGATAAGGTTCATTTAAGAAATATTCTTTTACAGCACCAATCGTGGGTGTTTGAGAGGTCATGATGCTGTCAGGGAGAAGGGAATGGATCAACGCCCCTGGTTCTATATTAACTTAGAATAAGTAAAGGAATAAAAAATTGATAACCCTCTGAGCGTATATTTGTATATATAACTAAAACAAACTGCACACACACACTACCATACACAAACTCATTAATATGATCTGATTACTCTCTCTTGGATAAATATTTCAATATATCAGAATATTCATCTTACTGAACTAATATGCATGCACCAAATTAAATAAGTATCTCAAAGTTATATGTACAAGTTACTCCCCAATTTACACATTTTCCATATAAGCCAATTATTTTAAATTCATGCTGCTCCTCCCGTTAGAAGACTGACAATGTTGTAAACAATGTTGAATTCCTCGCTTGGCCTGGAAGAGCTTATTAAGTCCTGAAACACATACCTTTGTCTAGAAAAACAGTAGCAAATACTACTATTGAAATAATAGCAGTTAAACAAAACAGTGAGGTAGTGATCGTCAGTAATAGTTATCTGTTATTTTCTGAAAACCCTGGGTATCTTTCAATGCTCTCAAACTCAGCATATCCAAAAATGAATGAATCATCTCTACCTTCCAAATGGCTTCCCTTTCTATTACTTATTTTGGTTGGGAGCAATACCATTCACCGTGGCAGGATTCTTGTTTCCCACTCCCCTTACATCAAATCAGTGACAAAATCCTGTTTTTATCTCCCTACATCAGTGTGTTTCAAACTGTAGGTCATGACTCAATATGAAATCAACTAGTGGGTAGTAACCAGCATTTTCTTTAATAAAATGAAAAAATATTTCACTTTATCCACAATATAGACAAATATTGTTCTGTGACAAGTTGTGCTTTGTGTATGACTATATCTGTGTCCTGGGCCATGAAATAAAATGTTTACCTTCCTACAGGTTGCAGTCAAAAGAGAATGAAAAATTGCCCAAGACAGTTTTCAGCTCTGTCTCCTCCCACCCCATGTGCCTTTGTTCAGGCCTCCCAGTTGGTACCCTGGCCTCCAGCATTGTCCCCTTCTATCTATGTTCTGGCAGAGACATTTTTCTAAAACAAAACCTGAGCCAGTGACTCCCGTCTAAACACTGCTCTGGGTCCCTGTCACTTCAAAGCTAAAGGCTAAGCTCCTCTGCATCCCTTCCCTTGGCGGTCATCCCCTGCCTGCTGTCTCTCGAATGTCTTCCACTATGCCCACGGCACACTTTACGTTCCACCAGTACCACCAATACCACCGATCAGGGGCCCAAGCTATCTATGAAGGACTGGAGAATATATATTTCAGGCTTTGTGCATCTCCATTTTATGTTCTTCTTTGTTTTGGGTTTGTTTGGGGTTATTTTACAACCCTTTAAAATGTAAAAACTATTCCTAGCATGTAGAAAATACAAAAACAGACCATGGGCTGGATTCAGGCAGCGACCCATAGTTTGCCAACACTTGCCAGAGATTTTAAGTAGTTTACCCACATAACACCCTTTGTTATGCTTCTGTGCCTTTCCCCATGCTGTCCTCTCTATCTAGAATACCTTTATCCGTTTCTCTACTGGGGCTAACTGGTATTTGTTCAAGTCCTACATCGTCTAGGATATTCCTACCCAAAGTGAGATGCGTGGACCAGCAGTAGCAGCACTTAGAAGCCTATTAGAAACTAAGTATCTCAGATCCCACCAAAGACCCAAAAATCAGAATGTGCCTTTGAACAAGAACCCCAGGAACTTCCATTTGCACATTAAAGTTTGCGAAGCAAACCTGCTCTGACCACCCCTAACCCAGGGCAGGTGTTCTTCTATGTCACTGTACTTAGCATACTGAATTAAAATGACCTCTTTATTGACTGGCTTCCCCATGGTTTTCTGAATTCCATATGGAGGGACCATGTCTCACTCATCTCTGAGTCCCCAGAACTCAGCATGGTGCCTAGAATGTAGTAGAGTTCAATTAATGTTTGCTAAACTGAAATAAATTAAGCTAAGCCTCCATTTCTTCATTGATGAAATAAGCATAATGACACCCATCACCCATAACTACTATGGAAATAAAATGAAACAAACATAGGACATTTCGCACAGTGCCTGGCACGCTAAGTACTCCATCAATGCTACTTCCCTTCTGCACTGAGTGGAATATTATTCCACAATTTAAAATTACATTTAAGAAAGCGTTTATAAAATATCACAAGGTCAAAATAAAAATCATGAATTCTACCAATTTAATGTGATAAAATTGTAAAAATCCTCTAGTATGAAAATTATCTAATCCCCTAAGTCTAACATATGGCAGATGGTCAACAAATGTTTACTTGTTGGAGAAAAATACAGTTCTTTCCTTCTCTTGTTGGAGATCTATCATCTACTCTTAAGCTTATTAGATATTATTTTCTTGGCTCTTAAATAGAAGTAACAGGGATAGTCAGTGGAAGAGAGAAAAAGAAAATGGGTGAGAGGAAGACAAAGGAAGAGGGAAGGAGAGAATGGGACAGAAAAGAGAGAAAATATATAAAAGCAAGAAGAGATTGAAGAAAGATAAGAAAGATAAAGTTGAAAAGAACATTAAAATAAATGACTGCCCATGGTTCAACTTGGAGGCATTAACATGTAAAGAAATTCGATCTCCCTATGGCAGCAAAAGAAGGGCCCATGCTGCCTGATCACAACTTGGGGTAAGTGTAGTAACTATACAACTAGAAATTTTAGTAGGAAGGCCAATGTAAACATATGCATACGGCCACAAGTAGGATGAAAAGTGGGCATGGCCCTAGCAGGTTTGGCTCAGTGGTTAGAGCATCATTGCTCGGACTGAAGGGTTCTGGGTTCGATTCTGACCAAGGGCACACACCACAGTTGCAGGCTCAATCCCCAGCTCTGGTAGGCAACCAACTGATGTGTCTCTCTCACATCAATGCCTCTCTCTCTCTCTCTCCCTCTCCCTGAAAAGCAATGGAAAAAATATCTTTGAATGAGGATTTTTTTTTAAAGTGGGCGTGGCAAGATGGTGCATCCAACTGACCGCTTGTATTTGTACCATGTCAAGAAACTCAGCCTCAGCTCTTCCTCACCTCTCCCTTGTGAATGGACCCAAGCCCCTCACACTCGGAGCTTTAGTTCTTCTTGCCTATTGGATGACCTTGTATAATGTTTGTACCCCAGAAAGGACCTATGACTAGCAAACCTTTCTGAAGGTGGCCTCCCAAGCCCTCCGGAGCTGATCATCAGCACCCAGCATCTGCTCGGCATTGCCAGCAACTGTGCCAGACAAGCAATTAGATTCATTTCCTGCTGACTTTCAACACAATCATTTACTTCTCATAACCAAGTCACTTAAGGACCTCTTAGATCATTATATTGGGCCAAGAAGAGACAAGCATTACCATTCTCAACTATTCAATTATACTAAATAATAAATCACGTGCTGCGTGTTACTTTCGAGTGGCCTGCATCAATTCTAAGAGCTCATTCAGTTTCAGGAAGCAGCTTACTTCCTCCTTCCCAGCAAGTTTCACCAAAAATAACAAAGAATAAACCTTTAAACTGCATGTGATTTTCGATGCCTCTGGTTCCAAAATATATTTTGTTAAAAGTTCTTGCCCTGTCATCATTTAAAAGGGCCTTTATTAGAGTAACAACAATTCAGGTTTTATTTCACGGAGGGTCTCTTAAAACTATTTTAGGTTTGATATTTATTTCAAGGCAATTCTTCCAAATAAGCTCACAACGGACACATCCTGTTTTGTTCTTGGCTCTGTGGGAAGTGAATACTAAAGTAAAAACTGTACTTTACAGACACATATTTCCAGGAATACCATTTGACAAAAATTACAGAACCATCTCAAATAAGGACATACCACTTCTTGACTTTTGTGTAGTAGGTCACTTAAATATTTATTCAATATTCTTGACACTACTTTCTGGATGATGGAAAACTAAGTCAAAAGCAAGCTTACTTATACCACTTATATTATTCATATAACTACCGCTGTTACTTATACAGCATTAATCAAAGCCGGAAGATAAAAATCTGACTTAAAAACATTCTGGACTTAAAATGCAAATGATCGTTACGGTAGGTAGATTATTGGAAAAATAAAATATTACTTTAAATGTATAAGGTCTAAGAACTATTGGTAAGATTACAATTAAATTTATGTATATACTCATAACAAAGACAGTCTATTTTCAAATTTTATACTTTAAATACATCTCTTTTCACATTAAATTTTGTTAGAATCTATATGTCTAAAACTAGACCAAAAAATATATATATATATTTAATGTTATTAAAATATTTAGGAAGGAAGCAAAATCTAAACTAGATAGCCACCTTAAGAAATATTATGACTCTGGTGTTTTCCATAAAATAGTGTGACCTCGAGTTTGCAGTGCTCGGTCAAAGAACAGGGATGTGCTGAGAGCTCAATAAATTCAAGGCCATATTTTAAACCTCAGGAAGCTGGTTCAGCAGCCAGACAAAGCATTTCCACATAAATCTGTCCCGAGGATCCCTTCTTTCCCTACCCAAGTACTCCTGGCCACAGAGGAACAATCTGTAAAAGTAACTCTAATCCTACTTTTAACTAGAAGAAACAATGAGGGAGTTCAGAATGTCAAAACACACCACAGGTCCACACAATAACATGACAAGGTACGCTGCCTGCTATTAAATCGGGTCAAAGAGAGGCCGTTTCCTTCCCAAACGAGATTAATTTGTTTGGAAAGAGGACCGACACATTCCTGTCAGCCTGCCAAGGTGAAGGTCAGCGGGCTGGGGCCCCGGGGTGCAGAGAGTCATCGCACACATCCAAGGCCCCGTGGGTCCCGGCTCTTCCCCGAGCCACCTGGAGAAGAAATCTTTTGAGCTTCTTAAGCAGAGCCGTCTGGAGGCTGATGCTGACTGGCTCCCTTCACAGCCAGGGGCTCCGTGATGATTTAAAGCCAGTAACAAGTCCTTCACATCAATCAAGCGCTGCCTTGAGGAATGAGGAAAGACTCCTTACTAATTTCTAAATTCTGAAATCAGGACAAGGTCACTTTCAAGTTCACCATGAATATTTTAGTAATGGAAAGAACTAAAACATCACAGGCCAGAGACCCACCCCTCATCCAGTTACAAGGAAAACACAAAGAAATTTGGAACATTGAGTGTAACTACAAAATGTCTTAAAAGGTGATACTGGAGGCTTTACTGGCATAATTCTTCTAAGCAGCATCTAGGTTGGGTTTTTTTGTTTGTTTTGTTTTTTAATATATTTTTATTGATTTCATAGAGAGGAAGGGGGAAGGGGAGAGGGAGGGGGAAGAGAGAAACATCAATGATGAGAGGGTCATTGATCAGCTGCCTCCTGCACGCCCCCGACTGGGGATCGAGCCCACAACCCGGGCATGTGCCCTGACCAGGAATCGAACCCTGATCTCCTGGATCCTAGGTCGATGCTCAACCGCTGAGCCATGCCCGGCCGGGCTAGGTTTTTTTTAATACCACTGGTATATCTTTTTCTCTATCTATAAATATTCTACCCCCTTCTATATTTCTCTGTGTTAAGCTAGATAATTTTTTTTAACTTTTCTACTCTTTTTTAAGATGTTTCAATTGATCTTTAGAGAGAGGAAGGCAGAAGGAAAGAGAAACATCCATCGGCTGCCTCCCACACACCCCCTACAGGGGGGATTGAGCCTGCAACCCGGGCATGTGCCCAAACTGGGAATCAAACTGGCAACTCTTTGGTGCATGGGATGACACCCAACGAACTGAGCCACCCAGCCAGGGCAAGCTAGATAATTTTTGAGGACAAAAATTCCACAGCATGTTTTCCTTTTTCTTTCCCCTTTAACACATATGCACAATTACATCGTTATGGTTATTAAGCACTAAGAAACTGTCCACGGCTACAGTGAATCTGCCTTCTCCTTGATTGCCAATGGCCACCTAATTGCTAAACCCAAGGGCAACTTCTCACTCATCACGCTCTAATTTTTCTGTAACGGCGAATGCCAGTAACTACTTTTCTGCTTCTTAGAACTTTTTCTTTCTTTAGTAACCATGACTCAACACTCTCCCAGTTCTCCTACCTCACCGGCTATTCAATTCAGCTTCCTTTACCAAATCTACTTCCTGCTCCTGCTCTCAAAAGGGCCCAGGATTCTCTCCCCAGCCTCTCCTCTCCCACTACCGTCTCTCCCTACCGGAGCCAACCTATTCCCACGGCTTCCCCATCTCTGTCCAGCCCTGGCCTCTCTCCAGCTCTAGATGTGCCCTTCAGTTGAATACAGGCCAGCTCCACAAGGAAGTTCCACCTAAAATGCCCAACGTACCAAACGCATCACCATACACCGTATCCCCAGTTTGTCATCATCTTGTCATTCACACATACACCATTTAGTGAGTACCTACATTGGGACCAGATATTATGTTAAATGCTTCACATACATCAGCTATTTTAATCCTCACAAGAGTCCAATGAGGAAAGTAGTTATCACCATTTTAAAAATAGAGAATCCCAGACCAAGAGATTAAGTAATTTGTTCAAGGTCAAGTAGCTAAAAAGCGGTAGAGTCAGGATTCAAACCAGGCAGTATGATTGCTTTAAACAACTACACTAGATTACCTCCCAATTGCCCAGGCCTGAAACTTGTCTATATTTCCACACAGCAAGGCACTATGAGCTTGGTCCTGTGACCTCCAGGTCCCTCCTATCTTCCCTTCTCATTGATGCTACTTTTCTTCAGTCCTCAATAATACTTACCTTCTCTTAACTTCCCATCTCCCATCTCTCCATATTTCATCTATTTACCTGTCACTCTCTTGCCAAAAATCATCAATGGCTCAGAACTCCCTACTGCCTACAGGATAAAGTTAAAAATCTTTCCAGCCTCCTCTAACACCACTCTTCCTCACAGCCATCATGTTTCACTTAGAAAGGATATGTATCATTCTTTTTGTCCAGCACCTACCCCCTTCTTATGTCTGGGAATTCCCTACCTCCCAATGTAGGAGCTAAAAATGCAGATGTACCCTTTCCAAGCCTCCTTTGCAGCTAGCTTATGGCACCTGACCTAGGCCATACCAATTAGATGCATTATCCCAATTGTGAATTGGGACACGGGCACCACAGAGAACCCTCCCTGGTAGCTAGAACAGCTGCAGGAAGACCTGAGTTCCTGGGATGCACCCAGTGTGCAGGGGAGAGGTGTTCCTTGGTCTAAAGGTGCAACACCTGCCCTCTTGGTGGCTGCAGCATTTTCCTTGTGGTTCCTCACTGGAGCGACCAGTATAGTTCAAGCCTCCCCACCTGGTTTTTAGGTCATCATGGCGATTCTGTGAACTACCCAACATCCTTTTAAAACATTCCTTTTTGCCTTAAGTCACCCAGTCCTGGTGTTTCTAAGCATCCTTCACTCATCACAGAACATGCCCTGTGCTTTCCTGCCTCACATAACCTCGCCCACTGTTTCTTCCGCCCAGATTTCTTCTCTATTAGTCAAAACTCTTTCCATTTTTTAAGACCCAGCACAAGAACTGCTTTCCCCATAAACAGCTAATACTTAATCAGCACTAAGGGCCAGGCATGCTTCTCATTTGATCTTCACAAAGAAGTAGGAGGTAAATATTAGTGTAGCCCTATTTTACAGTTGAGGAAAATGCAACAAAAACAATTAAGAAAATTACCCAAGGTCATGCATCTAGTGAATGGTGATAGAGCCAAAATCCAAATCCAGGAAATCTAACTCCAGACCCCTGCTCTTAATCAGGGAACAGCAAATTATGGGCCATGCGTCAAATCTAGCCCAGCAGCCAAATCTGGATCACAGCATGTTTTTATACACCCATGATCTAAGAAAAGTTTTTTACATTTTTAAGTGGTTGGGGGGGAAAAATTAAAATAATAATATTTCATGACCCATGAAAATTCTATAAGATTCAGATTTCAACATCCATTTCATTGTAGCTCAGCAATATAGTGTCTATGCTGCTTTCATGCTTCAACGCAGAGCTGAGCACCTCAACAGAGACAGTATGGCCCAAAAAGCCCACAAAGCCTCAAATATTTACTGTCCGGCCCTTTAAGACTCTGCTTTTAACCATTACCTTGTACTGCCTCTCGTTCCCTTACTTCCCCCAAGCTGGGAAAAATCTTGCCCTTCTCTGTATTTGCCTGGCATTTGCATCTTTCTTAGAACAGGTTGTCCATTCTGCTTTGAATTACATGTCACTTGTTTTTTTCCCTCCAGCAGACTAAGTTCCTTGACGTCAGGAAGTAATCTTTCTCACCTTGTATTCCTCTTGGTGCCTCGCTTATTGTTGGTAGTTGATAAATGCTTGCTGATTTTATTTATTTACTTATTTTAAAAGAAGCCAACCGTATTTTTTGGTTTTTTTAATTGATTTTAGAGAGAAAGGAAGGAAGAGGGATAGACAGAAACATAGATGACAGACACAGATTGGCTGTTCCTGCACGCCCCCTACAAGAGATCAAGCCCCAAACCTGGGCATGTGCCCTGATCGGGAATCAAACCTGTGACCTCTTGGTTCATAGGTCAACGCTCAACCACCGAGACACACCAGCTGGGCCACACTACAGTAGTTTATTTAAAGCCAGCAAGCACCCAGCCGGTGTTTCTCTCTATCCCTCTCCCTTCCTCTTTCTCTAAAATCAATAAAAACATAGTTAAAATATGTATATATATATTGTAGTGTGAAGTTTTAAAAAGATTTTCCCTACATGAACAAGGATCATAGAAATCACAGTCTAGACTCTGTATTGGCAGGATGGGTAATAAAGGGCACCCTCAACCACTACTGGTAGGTGTATAAATCGGTACAGCCTTTCTGAAGGGCACTTCTGCCTTGTTCATCTAACACCTAGAAAGTGTGTGTTTCTTAGGACTCAGAATTCCACTGCTGGAAATTTATCCTCAGGAAATTTGCAGACCCGTGTGCAAAAGTGTAGGCAATAACAGTAGTCATGGGAGTTAACACATGTACTGAGTACATACTACCTCCTGGGCACTGAGCTAGTCCTTTAAATGCACAATCTCACACCCCTTAGAGGTAACATTGTTATGAGCCCTGTTTTATAAAAGAGGAAATTAAAACCCAAGAGGTTAAATAATTTGTACAAGGTTAAAGGATTATAGATGACTAGTTTTTAAGGGGAAGGCTACAGCTGATTTTAATTTTGCACATTATGAGGCTTTTCTAAATTTACTACTGTAAATTAGTATGTATTACAGGTATAATTTTATAGGGCAGGATAGCACAAAATCTTCCTCGTCTGTTTTTCTTTGGAAGCTTAGGAAAAGTAACCCAAAACAAAACAAGCAAATGTCCTTTTTCATTTACTTTGGAAAGTACGCTTAAAAGTCACCATCTTGGAGAATAGTATTTCCTTACGTAAAACAGCCTTAAAAACATTCTGGATCCTACATGCTTCCCATATAGCATCACTTAGCCAGTTCTTATGGTTTCACCAATATGCAAGTAGACAGAAAATTATGTTGTGACTTATAATGAATAAATATTCTTTGGACATGAGGATGGATTCATCTATAATTACAGCAATTCACAAAGGAAGAGTCCCACCCTGTCTGCAAATCTCCAGGGTTATTACATAACCCCAAATCACTAAGTTTGGGACTTTTTTGGATTCAAGCTGTTTTGCCTCTGATCCAAAAAGACTAGTCTGGGATCTCCTTCTGTATCTATACTGACTTAACACAAATACTTCCAACTTAGATCTATTAAATGCGAAGATGGCCCAGAGCCAAGCCTTACCTCTTCTGGAACAATAATTAATGGATATTTGTCCTCAGATAAAAAGTTGAAAATAACCCATACTTTAAACGAATCTTCTTCCGAAATGAGCAAGGGATTCTTTGTGAGGTTTTTTTTGACACAGAGTGTCCAACACATCCTATTGAATTCGATCTTGTCAAAGTTGTCTTGGACCTAAAAGAGAATGAGGAAAATTCCAATGAACCAGTCCAAAATAAGTAGCATAATATAAGCCAAGTAAAACAGAAAGACAAAGCCTACTACAGGCTTCCATTTAACCAATAACCATGTTCAGTGTCTATGCTTAGGTACCACACTTTCAAAGGCCCAATTAAGAATGTTTTTTTAGCCTGACACTGACGTAACATATGTCACTCACCTGGCACATAAAATACTGACTTGTCTGCCCTGGCTGGGTGGCTCAGCTGGTTGGAGAGTCGTCCTGTATACCAAGAAGTTGCAGGTTCAATTCCCAGTCAGGGCACATACAGGAGGCAAGAGATCGATGTTTCCCTTTCACATGGATGTTTCTCTCTCTCTCTCCCTTCCTCTCTCTCTAAAATCAATAAAAACAGCACAACCGGCATGGCTCAGTAGTTGAGCATCGACCCATGAACCAGGAGGTCAGGGTTTGATTCCCAGTCAGGGCACATGCCCGGGTTGCAGCTTGATCCCCAGTAAGGGCCATCCAAGAAGCAGCAGATCAATGAGAATTCTCTCTCATCACTGATGTTTCTATCTCTCTCTCCCTCTCCCTTCCTCTCTCTGAAACTAATAAAAACATATTATTTTTAAAAATAAAATAAGAACATAACCTCAGGTGAGGGTTAAAAAGAACTGACATCTCTAATAGTTTTTCATGTGTACACACTATCTTCTAAATAGACTCTCGGTCCTGGTACAGAGGAGTCGAGAATGCCAATTACTCGACATGAGCCACATGCAGACACCCCATCTTTACCTCTACAGTCAAAAATACTTTCTTTTGGGAAAAACTGTTTAACTGAAATTCGAAAAGGCAGCCCTGCCATTCAGTCATTCAATCGTGCATTCAACATTCCCACAGCATCTACAGTGAGCCAAGTACTTTGCTACAACTTAAGGATATAAAGATGAAGCACTTAGTCTCTCCTCTTAGAACATTCACAGTTTATTAGGGAAAACAGATATGCAAATAGATAAATTTTAGTATTACACAGTGTATAATTCAATAGCTTTTCACTAATTCAATAGATAAAATTTGGATGGTAGTTACCTGCCAGGGACAATGCAAAGATATTTAATATAATACTAGCCCATGTCTCCAAGGAATATCAAGACAATTACAGGATAGTGTGATAAGTACTAGAATAGATATAAGCAGAGCGTTTTGTGAGAACACTTGGGGAGCCAATGCAATCTTAAGAACTGGGGGAAGACTTGCAGAAAGCATGACATGACAACAGAGCTGAGTCCTAGAGGACCATCAGGAGTTAAGCAGTTCAAGAATGGAGTAAAGAGTGTCCCAGGTAGAACAGAATACAAGAAAGCCCAGAGGTGGAGACCACCACGGTCAGATTGGAACAACTATGAGAAGTCTAATGTGAATCAGGCCCCTGGTGCTAGAAGGTAGTATGAATTAAGGCTCCTCAAATAACAGAAATGCAAATAACAGAAACTATCTCGGGTTCCTTAACAGAAAAGTAAGTGATTGAAAAAATAATGGGTAACCTCAAAGATCAAACACAAGCACTGGAAAATCTAGGCTCCAAAACTAAGCTGTTACCAAGCTAGGCAAGGCAGTCAGAACCGTGGCAAAAAATACTCATGGGAACAGTGTGGTGGAGACACCACTGCCAATGTGACGATGTCTTCACCACGAGGCCATCACTGTTTCCACTGACCCAGCTACAGATTCAAAGTCCCACTGGCTGGGCCTGGGTCACATTCCTTCACTCTAGCTGCCAGGGGACAGGGAAAAATGAGTATCTGAACTTTTCAAAATATGAGCTGTGAGATAGGTCCTGTTCCCCACTGGGACGCTGTGGAACTTCACAGACATTAAGAGCTCAGATACTGGACAGATGTCAAATGTCCACTGCATGGGGCACAGTGAAAACTGAGGCTAGATAAGTAGATGAAGATCAGCTCACAAAGAGCCTTATAATTCGTTAGGATTTACCTGTATAAAGAGTGGAGGGGAGCAACACACAAAAAGCCATGATCTGGGACAACATGGAAGATGCACTAGAAGCAACAGGACAAGATGAGCAAAGCATTTGTTTTTAGAGAAATATAAACGAAGTGCTGTATGTACTATAAGGAAGAAGTCACTCGCTGGCCGTAGGGAGGTGTTCCTCTGAATCTCCAACTAGAATTTGTGGTTTGTAAACCAGTTCCCCAGGAGTAGCAAGGTGTCCTCCGCGCTCCGCGGTCAGCGCCGTCTCGCTCAGTCTGGCACCACTTCCCACGCCTCCCATTGTACACAGTGGATCCCACGGAGGGAAAGCAGTAGCTGCTGCAGCATCTCTCCTTTCTTGTTCTTTAACACCATTTATGAGGACTTAGTATATGTTTGACACTGTATTTGCATTTTCTCACTTGAACCTCATATTAGCCCTAAAGGGTTAAATACTGTCCCTATTTTACTGATCAGGAAATAGAGGTTCAGAAAAATGAATACTTTTACCAAGTTCACATGACTAGTGAATATCAAAACCAGAGTCCAAGTCAAAGTCCAAATGCTGTGTTTCCACTATGCCAAACTGCTCGTAGGACGCAGTAGATGGACGACCCCTACATGATGAAAGACATCTCTATAGGATTCATTTCAAGGGCCACCACCATGAACTCTATCCACCCGCACCCCCAAAAATAACATGAAGTGAAAGATACGGCACACGGGAAGTGACATGCGCACGAAAGCACACAGCCTCGCCGTGAGGACCCGGAGGTTCTGTGTGGATTATGGGGTGAATTGTAGGGTTTCTTGGGGACTGGCTAGATTTATGGCTGGAAAAGCAACATAGAACAAATCACTAAGAGCTTTATCTTTTTTTTTTTTTTATAGCTTACAGGAAACCCCCAATTGAAGGATTTTGGAGCAGAAAACAAGCAGGTCATCTGCAGCCCAGATTACTACTTGCAGAAAAGAAGGTATGTGAGGTGACCCTTGAAATATACTGCAGAGTGACAGGTAACGTATTCCAAAGGCAGGAAAGGAAATGGCAGGAGCAGCACACCAACCGTGTTTGGGGAACACTCACGGGACGAAGGAGACGAAACCAAGGGAGAAGGAAAGATGGAGTTTTCCATTTTGGAAGCTCTGGTAAGACATTAGACGGTGGTGTCCAAGGACAACCAAAGAGGTGAAGCTGTAACCTAAGAGGAGGGGCAGGTTTGTGGATCAACTGCAGGCCAGCGATGGCTGAAACCGTGACAGCCGAGGAGATCGGAGAGAGAACATAAAGGGAGCAAACGGATGGGATCAGAAACGGGACCTCAGGGGACACGCACGTCGGCAAAGCAAGAGGAGGGAGAGGAATTGTGATAACTGCAAAAGCAGTCAAAGCGGTAGGAGGACCACAAAGATATGAGAACCGAGTGAGGAAACAGTCGAGAAGATGGTTTGATAAGTAGTGCGAAATGCCGCAGAGAGATCAAGGAGGAGTTGCTTAAGAAAAGACCACTGATTTTGCACTTCAGTGGTCTCGAGTTACCTTCAAGGCAGCCGAGAAGCGTGGGTAAGTCAGACTGCTGCGGTATCAGAAAGCAGCAAACTCCCCGTAAATTCCTAGGAAATAAGTCGTCTGTTTGGCTCATTCCCCCTCTAAAACCTAACCCACTATTCCTTAGTTTAATCGTGCTCAAAGGAAGAAGCGTATCAAATGATAGTACGCACACCTATTAAAAAGGTACAAAAATCAGATCACGTATGAAAAGCCCACAGCTAACATCATATTTACCAATGAAAAACTGAAAACCTTTCCTCCAAGATCAGGAACAAGACAAAGATGCCCACTCTCACCACTTCCTTTCAACACAGTACTGAAAGTCCTGGCCAGAACAATTAGGCAAGAAAAAAAATGAAATAAAAGTCCTCTAAACTGGAAAGGAAGAAGCAAATGATCTCCATTTGCAAGTGACATGCTCTTTTTTATATGTAGAAATCGCTAGTCTACAAAAAACTGTTAGAACTAATAAACAAATAGAGCAAAATTGCAGGATACAAAATCAACACTCAAAAGTCAGCTGTATTTCTGCCCAGCCGGGTGTGGCTCAGCGGTTGAGCGTCGACCTAGGATCCAGGCGATCAGAGTTTGATTCCGGGTCAGGGCACATGCCCGGGATGCGGGCTGCAGCCAATCAATGACTCTTATCATTGATGTTTCTCTCTCTCTCTCTCCATCTCCTTTCCTCTCTCTGAAATCAATAAAGATATTTAAAAAAAAAAAAAAAAAAAAGTCAGCTGTATTTCTATACGCTAATAATGAACAATCTGAAAAATAAATTTTTTTTAAATCCCATTTATAATAGCACCAAAAAGAATAAAATACTTAGCAATAAACTCTACCAAAAAGGCAAAAGACCTGGACATTGAAAAATACAAAACATCACTGAAAGAAATGACAGATGACAGATAAATGGAAAGACATCCGATATTCGTGGGTTAGAAGACAATATCGTTAAAATGCCCAGACCACCCGAAGCAATGTAGAGATGCAATGCAATCCCTATCAGAATCCCAATGGCATTTTTTGCAGAAACAGAGACGTTATCCTAAAATTTACACGGAATCTCAGAGGACCATGAATATCAAAACAACCTTGAGAATGACAAAGCTGGAGGCCTTACACTTCCTAACTTCAAAACAGATTTCACAGCCACAGTAGTCAAAATAGTACGCTACTGGCATCAAGACAGACAGACAGACCAATAAAACAGAAGAAAGGGCGCGGAAACGAGCCCTGGTGCATATGGTCAAACGACCTTCAACGAGGGTGCGGAAACAACAGTGAGGAAAGGACAGTCTCTCTTCAACAAATGCAGCTGGAAAAAAATGTCCACATGCAACAGAATGAAGGCGGGCCCTTTCCTCGTATCATATACCAAAATTAATTCAGAATGGAGTAGAGATCTAAGTGGGAGACCCGAAACCGTAAAACGCCTAGAAGAAAGCACAGGGGGGCGAGCTT